AGCACTGTCTCTTGTTTTGGAAAGGTTCTTAATTCCGGACAACAGAGATGACTTCTTCACTTGTGCCCAACGGAGTAGAATTGTAAGAATTATTTTTAATTATGTATTATTATACAATGTATTCAGCTTTCGTGAAAACTTTATGGCAAGACTTTATAGCAAGCAAATTAATATGTCATTTGGAAGCAACTACATTCATTGAGTTTAATAAGGTGCAACATGGTTGGTCCAGGCTTTTTATTACCTGTTGTATGTTTGTCTTGCTGTTTAATTCCAATCTTTTCATTGCTGTGTGACATTTTGCTTCAGTTGGTGTTTTATGACATTGTCAGCTCCTACATTTATAGAATGGTGCTTAGATTTTTAAGGCAATATTTCAAAAAATTACTGTTTTAACTAGAATTAAATAATGTGTCTGAATCTTGTGTAGAAGATGTGTTGTGTTATTTTGATATTTGCATCATTCTGTTTTTGGAGCTAGTAAATGGCATGCAAGTTACAAATACATGTGTGCTTCATCTGGTTTAATCCTGTACTACAGCCACAACATGTACATGTATACTTTCATCCTACATTTGAGCTTCAATTTATATACAACTCATTTGCAGGTTCATAGAATTTTGATGAGAACTCAGTATGGTGAAAAAAGGAATCAGATTGGTAAGTAAATTTAAAGTTAGTTAAGGACTTGAATCTTCAGTATCTAAGAGATGTACTGAATGGCCTTGTACAGTTAGCCTGTTGTTCTCTGTCCAGATCTATCTAGCAATCTGGTTTCAAGTGCTGGCTGTGGTCATTGTGAGGCAACCTGAACAACTGCACTTGGGGGAGGGAGAAGGGGGGAGGGATAACCTGTGATGTAAATTAGTAGTGCTTCATCCAGGCATCAATCATGTGGGGAGTAAGAGTACAGACTTTGAAATCCGACACACTCTATATCAAAACAAAGGTTATGAAATGGAGAATTTGATAAAATTGTGTTCTGTTTTCAATATTGGTGATTGCTTTCCTAAATTTATTACATGTAGGTTCTATTTTATTCTTTATTGAACAGATCAAACTGGTGTGAGAACATATAATCACATGATCTAACAGGAATACATTAGCACACAGATGACCCAAACTCTCAATGTTATCCTTTTTTTTTTTCACTTTTATGCGAACGTTCAGCCTAACGTGACATATGGCATATACTATTACATAACGACCGAATTTGACTACGCGAAACATGACTCTGGCCTTGCAGTATATGGAGGTGTTGTGTTACAACGGTTCGAATTTATAAAGGTTTGTATGAGAATGCAACGGCTTTGCTTGAAAAGTCAATTATTCTTATATTTTGTGANGACTTTGTAAGGGAAACTCCCTTTAGTTCTAAATATACTTAAGTAAAGTTATTTTAAAATGTAGAAATAAACTTCATTTGTAATGTAATGTCACGCGTAAGATGTACATTATCTACTCTTCGTGTATCAAATGTAATTCCAAATGGCTGTTGGAACGTTACCACGATCACGCCAAAAGAAGCCGAGTGCATGTAAAGGTTACAGAAAACCGACTATCATTTGAAATTCTCAGCGCAGTAGGGTTGCCGTGATGAGTTCATGTGATGGTCAATTTATCTGGCCTTAAGACAGACGGGTTTTTATGGCGATTTAGACCACAGGTGACCCAAGCTCTCAATATTATCCTTTTTCACTTTTATGCAACGTTCAGCCTAACGTGACATATGGGATATACTATTACATAACGACCGAATTTGACTACGCGAAACGTGACTCTGGCCTTGCAGTAAATGGAAGTGTTGTGTTACAACGGTTTGAATTTAGAAAGGTTTGTATGAGAATGCAACGGCTTTGCTTGAAAAGTCAATTATTCTTATATTTTGTGAATAAAATCTACTTACCCTGTTACTGTGTTGTATTCTTTGTTGTTTGCCAGCCCCTCAGGTCGATCTAAGGCGATTTCGGCGAGTTATCGTTCTGTGGGTTTCCACTACTAAAAGAAAGACAA